GGAGAGATAACTGTGACACTTAGGGCAGGTGTCCAACTTGAGTGTCACAGGGAAATATTTAGTACTCCATTTTATGGCTGCTGCATTTTATCCCCGCTCACAGGGAGAACTCCCAACCCTACTGTTTGTTCCCCCTTTCTCTCTTTGAGGAAATGCTATGAGTAGGTCATGCCTTTTTGAATCCTAATGCAAAAAAATAGATTTCAACTGTCATTTAAACAGAGCTAAGAAACAAGAGGTTATAGTAACAGCTTCAAGCCCTGCAGGAGAAGACTGATGGATGGAAAGCACAAGCATGCTGTGATCATTGTATTATACTAGGGGTTTTTATTATTGTTATTTGGGGATTTACAATGGCTGATCAAGATTCTTTTTGTCCTTTCTGGTACATGTCCTTCCTGTTGGCCACGGAAACCTGTTTTGCGTACATTTGAGGCTGGTTGTATTTAGACTTCAGAGCTGGTATGCTCAATGATGTGGCCCAGTCCCAAAGCCACCAGGTATCTACACTGGAGCTGGAGCTGAAACAGGCTACCCACTTGATGGTCTCTGCATTCATTAGCCTTTGCACATAGGGTATTAGTGCCCACGTGGCCCTAGCAGGGTATCAGGATATGGTCAGGATACACATCTGGACCAAGGAGATGAGATGCATGTCTGGGTCCCATGGATTAGACATAGCCAGAGTCCACCTTTGAGGAGAAGGGGATCCAATATTATACTCACATCTGCTCACTGTCTGTCATATGACAGCTCCTTCAGAGCCTGCCCTTCAGTGAATTTGACTTCATAGAGTATCTTCTAGAAAATACTTAACCTGAAATGTAGTTAAACAAAAGCTAAATGAAAGTGAGTAACCATATAAACAGCTTGTTCTGGAAAACCTTGTGACAGACACTTGAGAAATGCCCTTTAGTCACTGGAAGGTATTCCCCAAGGCCTTCTTGGGATGTTCTGTGTCTGCGTCAGCTGATGAAAATACTGTCTATATTTCTGTAGCCACAGGTGATTAGGAATTGCTCCCACAGCGTAATTTAAACCTACTCAGCTTCTCCCTGAATGTAGTCAAGTGAGCAGAGAGAGACCCTTGCATGTTTGATTTTATAGTACTGAACAAGATCTGCTTCATTTATGCTTTGTCAGGGCTACAAAACTTGGGTCCATATAGAAAGTATAAGTAACATTCACGCTGCATCTCTGGGTTCAACTTGCCTGTTTCCTGAATTGCAAAAGGCAGCAGTCTCTCCATTACATTGAGCTCTGACTAGGCACAGACTTTTTAGTGACAAAGAATGGGAACCTCCAAACGATGGAAATGGCCTAGAGTCCAGTGGTGTTAAAAGGGTCATTTATATTTTCTCACAACCTGCCACTATCTTTTTACTGTAATTAATAACAAATGAAAGTTTCTGTTTGTTCTGGGATCAGCTATTGCTTAGCTTACCTTGCAGCAAAACACACTGAGGCCTCATTCATTCATGTTGTAACTTATGTATTACTAGCCAGTTGGAAAATGATGACAGATTTGCATCCTGTTCTGCTCCGTTTAGGAGCTGATGTTCACTGACTTGCAATAATCATATATTTGCATAGTGCCTTTAACTCAAAAATATTTTCGGTTTACATGACTTACGGGTGGTCATTTCTATCAGCCTTGAAGTGCAGTGACTTCAGGGTTGGAATGTGGCAGGCAGTTACCAGCACACACTATATAATAGCGTATTGTGTGAATATCTTATCCATATGAAACTGCAAACAGCATTTCAGCAGGCAGGTATTAGATTCAGAAACCAGGCTAACCTCCCTCAGCCTTACTCTTGCTAAAAGATATTCAATACCCATAAATAAGCAAGCCCCAAGTTCACCTCTCTTTTGTAGAAAGGTCTTTGCTCCAGCATTGTGCCAGGGTAGGGCTTCGCTACAACAGACCCTCTGAGGCTCCTGCTGAGCCCCCCAGCAACCACCTCGGCACATCTGACCCTCCGAGGTGCTGCTGAGCCTCTTTGTCCCGAATTGAGCGTGTCCCCGCACAATGGGGATACAGCTGTCTGCCTGACAGAGTTAATGAGCGTAAAGAGTAGGCCTTCAATTACGTGTTTTTCAGCCATATTTCTCAAAGAGCTTTACAGAAAAAGGAGCTATTCTGCTCCTCATTTTATACAGGAGGAGGCTGGAGGCTAAAATGCAAAGAAATTAAGTAACTTTTTGACGATTACAAAGCAGATAATCAGCAGAGCTCAGAATCAAGCTTAGTTCCCCACCCCCACATCCCTCTACCTCTTTGCGCATCTAACAGGGCACAACTTAAAATCCAGCACTTTTTAACTTTCATGGTAAAGAAGCAGTTCTGCTACAGCTTTCTGTTTGACTTTCTTTGGCTTTGCATCAAACCAAACCAGCTGTGCTCTTACTTTATACTTACTACCACCCTAAGGAGGTTCTTTTATGTGTGGGCGCCATAGAAATTAAGTTTTAAGCTAGAGTTTAGCAGGATCAAATTTTTGGATACAAAACTCCCAGAAAGTTGAGAAGACTGAAACCTAGGTCTTGTAAAAAAGAAGGGGTGGGGGAGTGGAAGAAGGGAAAAGAAATCCAATGGTCACTTCTCTCCTATCACTATATGGTTCCAGTCCAATAGGAACTGCTGGCTCCAACCAGGCTGCCAGGGGTCCGGAATGCAGGGACAAAAGGCCAAAAATCATCTTTTTTTCCATCCAGTGTTTTAGGTGGAAAAAGAAAGACATATCCAGGGACACTCAGATGAATAGTAGCCCTAACAATGCCAACTTATCCGCTCCCAAAGTTGTTTACACCCACAAAATTAATTGTGGTGCCAAATTGTAAGGAGAGCTGCGACTCCCTTAAATGTGTGGTCTTTATCGGAAAGGTCAAATGAAATAATTTTGAATTATTAGACACATTAACAATGCCGGAGGGTGTCATATACAAATAGCTGACACCTTTAAGCACTGACGCAATAAGGATGGACAAGAACATGAGGTGAGGGTGGTGGGAGGAAAGGTCTTTTTTAGATGAATCCAAGGTACAGCAAGTTTTATTACTGGGCTAGAAACGTATAGTATCCCAGGAGTGAATAGCTCACACATTTGATCCGATCTTGGGCTCAGTCCAGCTCCCACTGAAGTTTAATGGGAGTTGGATCAGGCCATTGCACTCACATTTTTTCCATGCATGGAAAACTATTTCCGTTACTTTGAATTACAATACCACTGGCTTTGGTTTTTATATAATAAAATAAATCTAGGCCACTGTTTATATTCCAAGAAACTGCATTCTGGGATGCCAGCAAATATATTGCCTGTTGGATTAAAAAAAATAAAATAAAAACTGGACACATTGGTTTAAAAAAACAACAGCTCCTAATTATTAAACATAATTTTTCTTCCTTGTGCTTTTCTGGAGTCCTCAAATATTTGAAGTATGAAAGGTACATATAAATTCTTCTCTGGTGGTTGAAATGGTGGAATCTGTAAAACTGCAATGCTTTATAAGAAACAGAGGTTTAATGTAAAAATAATAATCTTCATGACTGGCTCTTTGCTTATTGGCATATTTTGCACATTTTAAAATTTACGGGAAAAAAAAAACAACACCTTTGGAATGTCAGTAACAAAGGCGATGTATATTAGCAAACCCTTATACTTTGGGGACTGGATTCTCTTGATTGTTCTGACTGCAAATGAACTCTGCAGATGCTGAGAGGCACAGGAAGCATTTTGTACTAGAAACAGCATTTGTTCCCTGCTTTATGAATTGGATTCTACTAAAATCTCAATGTGGTAAGACTGATTAGCAGACTTTGGTAATGCCTTCTGCCCTAGTACAATTTTATTATACTCTTTTATTACCAAGGAAAAACACAGAAAACACTTCCACTGGTGAACATACACCCACATTCTGTGAGCAAATGCATCTGTGGTTAGCTTATGCCAGGGAAGAGCATGGTCCCTGGACTCTGAAATACAGAGCAGCAAAATAGACACCCCCCACTGAAAGAATAAAACAAATCCACACATATACACAAGCAACAGCAGGAAAGAAATGTCATTGTGGGGTGTTTAATGTTAAAGAGAAACTATACATCTGGGATGGTGGTGAGGAGGATTTAATAGAGCTGAACAAGGTGATCCCCTGCATCCACTTCAAAGAGGAAAACTGGCAGCGGTATGAGGAGTGCTTATGCAGTCATGTGCATGTGCGTGCAATGCTTCTCTCTGCTGACAAAATATGAAGTACATTGCCTTTGCAAACATCCCTGGGCACCAGCAACTTCTCCTCTACACTGACAAATTAAGTTTCAGCATGGACTTAAAAGAAAAAAAAAAACTCCCTTATGCACATAACCATGTGATCTGAGCTGGACAGATTTCCCCTTGGCCTAGGCGGTACAGAAGATCTAGCTGTTTGCTTCGTGGGGACTCCCAGACTGTGCACTGGTCAGCCACAGCTCACACCTTCCCTCCTCACAATAGCAGGTTGTAAACCTTCCTCCACCACATTGCGGTCTGTGCAGCATCCAGGAATGGTTTACAGGACTGCAGATTTTAAGCCATGTTCTTGTAGAGGAGCCTTGGCTAACCTTCCCTCTAATGTGACAAAGCCCTTTAGAGGGACCAAGAATTGGTTCCAAATTATCCAGTGGGTTTAGTGGAGTGGCAGGGCTTGAAACTCGGATAACGAGGACTCACCCACATCTGGCTGTAATTTCAGATGTGCAATAACAATGCAAAATGCTGAGATTTACCAATGAGAGAGCAGAAAGAACCCACTCTCCTCCTTCTCGCTGGCTTTGTTTCTGTAATAAACTAGTGTGTGCTTGTGTGCAGGGCGGACTTCACTTTGTCCGCACCTCCTCAACCTCTTCACTCTGACTGAAACATCCAAGGGGAGATACACCCAAAGACAAACTTCCCAGCAGAACTGAACAACTGGCAAACTAGCTGGCCTGATGGGGGAAATTTCAAAACCAAAATGTCTCTTAAATAAGCTTCTTTAATTATTATCATCATCTGTTTATTTATACAAATATAAAATATATTTATATAGATTTATATAATATAGATTTGTTGCTTTGGTGGTTCCTTTCATTTACAGACATACTGGTCAACAATCTCTGTGCACTTTTTACACTTGACATAACAGCACCAATGGAACTTGCAGTGGCAACGCTCCACCTGGACACTCTTGAACTGGTCGTAACCCCGTCCGCAGCACATCAGCTCACACCCATCCATGCCCTCTGAGGTCTTGTTGCACAGTCGGCCCTGGGTGCCCAGAGAGCCAGTGGTCTCATTGCGCAGGCAATAGTCCGGGCTGGGGTCAACGTAGACCAGGTCCTCTTGCGTCGGCATGTTGAAACGGTTGTTCACCAGCTCCAGCTTTCCCTTGCGGCTGATCCTCATGGCAGGGGGGGCCTGCTGCTGTCCCCT